CTGCATATCACAATAAAAAAAATATTAAAAACAAGCAGACAACATGTCTTGTCCCCTTTACACTACGATAAGGTTTTTGGATACCGATGTCTAAAGATTTCACGGGCCGGAACCCAGATGTACGCAAAACGTTGCCCGTGTGGTTTTATGGTGCCCGAATGTAAACCTCTGGGATAGCTTAGGGGTATTAACATACCTGATGGCAGGTAGAGCGTAGAACTGTTAATCGGGCGACAAGATTCGATAACCGGATGGTGAAGATCACTTGTTGTAGTTGATAATGAAATATTTTCCAGGGACACTTGCCCTGAACCTCATCACTTGCATAAATGTCATCAGTTCCTTGCGAAAGTAAGGCAACTGGTACTGGTTAACTACTTTACAGACTGCACAGAAACGATGCACAGTTATTCCCACCGTTATGCCAGCCTGCATAGCTCAATTGGTTAGATCGCGAGACCTGTAATTTCGACATTGTTCGATTCCCGGCCTTGCCATCTAAAATAAGTAAGACACATTGGATCAATGTCCCATGTATGAGAAGCAAGATATTCTTCTGAAATAAGGGCATATTTCTATATCTTGCACTGCCCTCAGAAATCTTAAATGATCAATATTTTTCTGAGGAACCGTCCAAATGGACAACCGATGGCGTTTATAAATAAACTCACACACAAGTGCGCGCACATTTGCAATCTCTCAGAAAGAAAAGCACGAAATGGTGCACTTTGTTGCAAGAAATGCAACGTTATTGAATAATGCTTATAATCAATTCATTTTATCATTTGTTATGTCAGGTCAATTCTGCACAACATACACATTTAGAGTTTAAATATTTTGGACTGTTAGACATGATCCGTTATATATACTGTCACGCTGGAACATTGTTAGCAAAATTACTGAAACATAAAAATATATACGACATTTAGAGTAAAACAGTGTTTCCCTTTTTTTCTGATAATAAATTGATTAATAAATGAACTAACGAATCATAATTTAGTAGCGACCGAATTGTGCGGAAAAGGAAAGCAGCAGGAGAAATAATTTCCGCTTCAAGAAACATCATTATTGATCTACCTTTCTTGCCTTCAAGTTGTTAGAATCGAAAAATGGATATATTTGTGTTGATACCAAATGAGAAATATATACCACTCAAGCCTACGGCCTTCGAGGTCAATTTTAACGCACCAAGACTCCAAACCTGTGATAAATAGCCTATAAACATCACCGACACTAATGCTGTAAAAATCTTCTTTTTTTAATCTTACTTGCGGTCTTTTTTTGTAAATTCCTGAGCATCAAAACACAAACCAGATGGTATATAACTTGTTTACAGTCAACCTTTTTATATATACAAAAATTGCTTTGTTATATTAAAAAAATATAAATGTAAATTTTCCGACTTTTTAAAATCAAACGTTTATAACGTTATTTGACATCATTAGCATGTAATTGAAACTAACGAAGTAAAGAGGTTTCTCTGTGAATCAGGGCCCATCTTATCAACTATCGTACGATTTTGGAAATCTTATCGTACGATTTTGATCTACGATTGTCGTACGCTCGATCGCAATACTGTCTTATCAACGTGGTCCTACGTTCAACCTAAAATCTTACGATTTTCATAGACGTACGGCTCTTAATCCTACTCTCCAAAATGGAGAAAAGGCGCAAATAAATGTCAATCTGAACGAAGAGGTCTGTTGTAATTAGAACACAAAAAGTAACTGTGCTGTTCACTTGAGTCTGATGCGTGCATTTATAAGTGTGAGGATGCTGTTATTGTGAATAAGAACTATTTCTAATCGCTGACAGTTGCTGGTAAATCCCGTTTATAAGATAACCATTTTGTAGCATGTATTGATATAAACAGATAAATACAGACTGTTTAAGCGTTTAGGAGCCCCACTCCAATTTTTGTTGGCCAGTGTTGTCATCTTTCATTTCTTTTGTTTTTGTTTATGTCAAAGGCATGCCATGCATCACAGACTATTAAAGATAAACAGTCATTCGAACCCACTATGCATGAGTTGAGAAGTAAAGCACTCTCCTTTGTTTATTCAACTGCTTGTTGGCTTTTATATTGCCTACTATGAAATATCAGCCAACCTTATTCATTATTGTATTATAAAAGAATAAACATTATTAATACAAGCCTACTTGTACATGAACATGTAATCATATTTGATTTTTTTACATTATTTGCGGTTAAGTACTAAATAAAATTAATTATATCTAAATGTGTTTATTGGGGCTAGATTAAAGCAATATAAAGATAAATTATCATTTACCACTTTCTAATTTTTATTTTTACATGAATTTACTGTTTTCACATTCCACCCTCTCCAAAAATATCATATATTTATTTTCATTATTTTTCTACACAGGAATTTTAGTTTTATTTAATATATTATTTTCTCTCATGGTGAGAATTATAGGAAATATTGTAAGCACCATTTTTATTTTATGAATAATATTATTAAGGAAGCAGTTTCAAAATCTGTTAATTAAGTATAATATGAAATTAAGTTGTTGAAGCTTAATCAAGATCTAAAGATCATAGGTTTCTTTAATGAAAATTAACCAAGCTGATGTTCGGCCACAACTAAATGACTACCCGGGCAATCCAATAGATGCGATTGATGCCTGAAAGGCCTACTTTTTCTACGGCCTTGTAGCATTTACAGAGAGCACGGATCTACGACTGCTTCTCTGCGATCGTAGAAATAAATGCACGATCTTACGATAATCGTACGCTAATGAAAATCTGCGACATTCGATAAGACACCGCCAAAATCGTACGATCGACGTACGGCAATCGTACGATAAAAACGGTCGTACGACCGTTTATAAGACGGGCCCCAGGATAATCTATTCATCTTATAAATTATTTCTGAGGGGAGTATGTAAACACGTGAACAATAAAGACATAAGTGTACATTATCGGAAAGTTGTGTTCAATTTCTAGTAAATACTGATACTTTAACTTATATGTAAGGAAGAGTGTCGAATGCCTTACAGATAAATCTCAAGAATACTCACTTAGCTCTCCGTAATTTATCCTGAAATTTATATGATACGTGTAAATCATCTGTTTTATTATGAAACCAAGTCAATTTATCTTAACTATTAAAAATGATGCATGAATCTATTTGTATAATACCTACTACGCGTGCGGCAACACTTTTGTTGAATTGAATATGATTCTTTAATTATTTTCAGGAGCTGATAAACGATTAACAAAATGTATACCAACGGATGTTGTTTTCTTTATATATTGTTGATCTCTGATATCGGTAAGTCCATTTTATGGCCTTATCAAAGTCTTTTTATACCCCCGCACAACAATGTTGTAAGTGGGGTATATCGGAATCAGCTCGTCCGGCCGTCCGGACGTCCGGCCGTCGGGCGTCCGTCGGTTTTTTCTTGTCCGTCTAATAACTTAAGATTCCTTTGACCCACAGCCTTATATTTTGCTTGAAAGTTAGTCATGATTAATAGATGACCCCTGTTGATTTTGAGGTCACCAGGTCAAAGGTCACAGGAGCCTTTACTGAAATAATTATGTCCGCCCATTAATTTTAGAATCCTTTGACCAACAGTCTTCATATTTGGCATGGAGATTAGTCAGGATTAGTAGATGACACCCTTTGATTTTATAGGTCGCCAGGTCAAAGGTCAAGTTCACAGGGGCCTTGACATTAAAAAGCTTGTCCGCCGAATAACATAAGATTCCTTTGACCTCCAGTCTTCATATTTGGCATGAAGGTTAGTCATTAAAAGAAGATGAACCTTATTTATTCTTAGGTCACAATGTCAAAGGTCAAGGTCACAGGGGCCTTGACTAAACAAAATATTGCCCGCCAAATAACGTAAGAATCTTTTGACCCACAGTCTTCATATTTTGCATGCAGGTTAGTCATGATAAATAGATGACCCCTTTTTATTTCACCAGGTAAAAGGTGAAAGTCACAGGGTCCATGACTGAAGAAAGCTTTTCCGCCAATTACTTTAGAATCCTTCGACCCAAAGTCTTCATATTTGATATGGAGATTTGTCATGACCCTATTTATTTTGAGGTCACCAGGTCAAAGGTCAATGTCACAGGGGCCTTAAATAATAAAAGCTTGTCCGCCCAATTACCTAAGATTACTTTGACCCACAGTCTTCATATTTGGCATAGAGGTTAGTCAAGATTATAAGACGACCCCTTTTGATTTTGAGGTCACTGGGTCAAAGGTCAAGGTCACAGGGGCTTATTTTAATTAGCTTGTCTGCTCAAATAGTCTCATATATTCACCATATTAAAACACCTCCAGGCAAGGCTGCATGAATGTGGGGGGGGGGGGTATTGAAATCATTCAATGGCAGTTTCATTTTGAGGTTAGTATGTCAAAAGTTAAGGTCACTTTGATATTTTCTCCTAAAACATGTAGAATACATAACCTAGCAATGCACCGGCTTACTTCCCTCCGATTTGGCTGGCAGGTTGTCCTTGAGCTCTAAATGACTACTGTTGATTCTGACAAATTTGTATGCGCGGGTATTCACGCTATGACAGGGTAGGTCTAGTTCATTCAGTTCCCGTATAAGCAACATTCTATCATCAAGAATGGACATTACTGTCTTAAATAAAATTACGCAAGCGATGACCAGATATAGTTTTACTTCTATTAAGTCCCACTATCAGTATTTAACAATATATGTCAATAGTCCCAATGCAAAAGATATAACAGTAATAAATATTTGATAAAATGGCATTTAATTCCTAAGCCAATTTCATCATCCTTGTCAAAATATTTCAAATATAATATCTTTTAAAGGTACACCAAAGGGTTTGCTTTACGTTTCATTCATTAGCATCTACTTTGGATTTGGATTTTTATCAATCTGACTAAAGTGAACTGATTTTCCTATTTATTTGACAAGGAAACCGTATTTCTTCTCATGTTTTGATATAATGCTCAATGTAATTGTATTTTAATGAGTATCTTACATAGGTGTATGGACGAACATGATCCAGCTGACACCAACTCGATTATATGCCGTAGAAAATTCAAGTGCAACACTCACATGTTCGAAAACAAATGGAATTATTAGCGAATCCATTTGGTTTAACTCTCAGATGTTTGGTGACGCAAATCTATATTACTCAGATGGACAATGTGTAACGTCACGTTTTCTACGAGACAGTGATTTATTTAGTGGTGTTTGTAACAATAACGGTACTTATTCTGTTGTCCTAAAAAAGATTGATCGTACTCAACATGGAGCTGAATGGATGTGTGTTGAGCTTTTATCAATGTCAAATAAAGTCGTTATAGAAGTGTCAGGTAATATAACAATGACAATTGTTTATATGCATAACAATTGCTGATTATGTTTCTATCAATTCCATATCTGGCATAACTGTTGTGTTATACATGTATGTTGCCAATATATTATGCTTATATTGTTTTTAACATTCATATTCCATACAATTCACATATGTTTTTGTTTACCGACTTTCTTACAACCATGTGTTGCAAATTCAAAGCCCGAAACAGTTCCATTGTGACCTCATATGATAATATCTTTATAGTACTAAAACTTATAAATGTCAAAGACTTTATTTAAATTCTTTAAATTGATGTTTATTATTGGCGTATTTTGAATCTTTCAATCTACCATTATTGACGATAATAAAACAATGTAATTTTTCTTGATTTAAATTAAACGTTACTGTATGTCAATAAACTTTGAAATATATATGCCTTGTAGAATTTAGGGGCATTTAATTTACTTCTTGAAGGTATATAAAAACCCCTTTTTCGGTATTTGCACATGTGAATATATGTCTTTTGACTTTCACTTAAAATAAATCTACATAATTTCCAGATGTAATATTTTACAGTCCCCGCTACAAGTGTTACATTGAGTCAACAAAATGGGGAATACATGAAGGAAAATCAGGACAAAAATATCTCCTGCATCACACCAGCATGTCGACCAGATCCTAGAGTACAATGGTATCTACGTAATGGTAATAACCAGATCATATATAATGTGACACAGTTTTCAACCAACAGATACGTTAATAGTGAATATGGTCTCAGAGCCGTCAATAGCGTACTACATTTGAGACCAAATAGAACTATAAATAACTTACGTCTGTATTGTGAAGTGAGAACCCGATTTGACAAGGCTGACATATTAAGCAGAGACGTCATTGTTAATGTTACATGTAAGTCTGTTCATTTTGTATTTTGTTTGCTTTCTACGTTTTTTTCATGAAATTGACACCATATTCTTAGGAAGTTAATATACTTTACGATGCTTAAATAAATAGATAAATACATATTATATATCTATATATATATGTCTTGTCCCTGCGACTAGAAGTGCAAGAAACGCATTTTTGTAGATTTTTCCATGCTAATGTTTAATCATGCATTTTGACTTTAGTTAGATGATTACTATTAATCATATAAACCGCGGCGCAGGAATGTAATGAAGACATAAAAACGATATTATACAAGTGAAATAGCACTTTGACGTGACGTCATTTGCGCCATCTATAAACATACCGTTAAAACACGCTAATGTAAGCGTTATACTATAGGCGTGTCAAGACAAATGACTCGTTTTAACTGTAAACCGTTCTTTTTTTGAATCTGTGATAACATGGATATAATTTTCGTATAGATTCAATACTGAATTTATTGGACTCGTTGAATAAAAAAATCATCATGCTCGTCAGAGGCTCACATAGTATGATTTTATTTACTCGATCACAAAATAGGCATTAAACCTACACTCAGTCAATATACTCTAATCATTAGAAAATTGTCGTAATAATGTAGGGACTGGCATGAACTTAGTTTTAAAGAAATACAATAAAGATATTTCTAACCGACCGTCCGTAGAATTTCGAACAAATGCATGCATATTTGAAAGAGAAAAAATGGATGTATAATAATGATTGTTTTCTTACTTATATTCGGTTATGTATTATAATTTTATATCTTTATAATTTTCATGATGCGATCGTCATTTTTATATGGAGTATTCTTTATGGTAAATACATGCTACTAAATATATATCTGTACAGCGATGGAACATGCAAATGTGAGAGGGGAAAAATACCGCGCGACGTATAAATCGTTGTTTGATATTCATTCATCGGTCTGTCCTTTACAAGCAAACTGACAAAAGTAAAACATATCCTTACTTCTTTGCCTTTATTATCCCCCGCCGAAAAATTTCGGCGGAGGTTATAGAAATAGTCTCCGTCCGTCCGACTTTCCGTCCGTCCTTCCGTCCGTCCGTCCTTCCGTCCGACATTTTTGTCCGGAGCATATCTCTAAAAGTATTTGAGTTATCAACTTGAAACTTCATATGTAAATAGACCTCATTGAGGATGAGTGCAGTGCACAAGAATGATAACTCTACCTTGCATGATTTTTGAGTTATTGCCCTTTGTTATTTTTCAAATTTGATTTTTGTCCAGAGCATAACTTTAAAAGCCTATGAGATATTAACATGAAACTTCATAGGTGCATAGATCTCACTCAGGAGGTGTGCAGTGCACAAGAATGATAACTCTACCTTTCATAACTTTTGAGTTATTGCCCTTTGTTATTTTTCATACCTAATTTTTCACCTGAGTGGAGCATAACTCAAAAAGTGTTTGAGATATCAACATGAAACGTCATAGGTGGATAGATCTTATTGAGGAGGAATGTTGTGCGCAAGAATGATAACTTTTCCCTTTACAATTTTTGAGTTATTGCCCTTTGTTTTGTTTTTCATGCTATTTTGTCCAGAGCTTATCTGAAAAAGTATCTGAGGTATCAACTTGAAACTTCATAGGTGGATGGATCTCATTGAGGAGGAGTGCAGTGCACAAGAATGATAACTCTACCCTGCATAGTTTTTGAGTTATTGCCCTTTGTTATTTTTCATTCTATTTTGTCCAGACTTTATCTCAAAAAGTATTTGAGGTATCAACTTGAAACTTCATACGTGGATGGATCTCATTGAGGAGGAGTGCAGTGCACAAGAATGATAACTATACCTTTCATAATTTTTGAGTTATTGCCCTTTGTTATTTTTCATACCTAATTTTTCACCTGAGTTGAGCATAACTCAAAAAGTGTTTGAGATATCAACATGAAATGTCATAGGTGGATAGATCTTATTGAGGAGGAATGTTGTGCGCAAGAATGATAACTCTTCCCTATACATTTTTTGAGTTATTGCCCTTTGTTTTTTTCATGCTATTTTGTCCAGAGCTTATCTGAAAAAGTATTTGAGGTATCAACTTGAAACTTCAAAGATGGATGGATCTCATTGAGGAGGAGTGCAGTGCTTAAGAATGATAACTCTACCCTGCATTATTTTTGAGTAATTGCCCTTTGTTATTTTTCAAAATTAATTTTTGTCCAGAGCAAAACTCAAAAAGCCTTTGAGATATCAAAATGAAACTTCATAGGTGCATAGATCTTACTCAGGAGGTGTGCACTGCACAAGTATGATAACTCTACCTTTTATAATTGTTGTGTTATTGCCCTTTGTTCTTTTTCATACTTAATTTTTCAATTCAATTTTTTTCTCAAAAAGTATTTGAGGTATCAACTTGAAACTTCATAGGTGGATAGATTTTACTGAGGAGGGATGCAGCACACAAGAATGATAACCTACCCTGCATTATTTTTCAGTAATTGCCCTTTGTTATATTCAGCCATCAGTATTCACATAGGTTTCAAATCTGTAATCACTATAGCCATCAGTTTTCATTACCAAAAGACCTCTTAAAATGGAATTATTCCGCTCTACTACATATACATTCTTCCAATGAGCAAACACATTCGGCGGGGGATGGCCATGTTGACATGGCTCTTGTTACTTATAGCATTTGTTATGACTGTACAATATACAACCTACACTCTTTTGAATATTTTGTAAAGAATAAATAAAATCATAATTAATAATTGAACATAAGTATTACAAGTCGATGTCATACGCCATGCGGTATTTTTTTCCTCAAATATACATTAACCTTTGCGAACTGTCGCGGACGGACGGACAATGATAATTTTAATTGCAACCGTAAAGTATACACGCTATGCTATAATATCGCTCAAAAAACTCTTTAATACAATTCCATCAAAAACATTATTGATATTTTGAAAGAGATAAACTTGTATTCCAGGATCTAATTGGCTCATTTTCACTGTCATTTACAAAGTTTAACATAACATTTTAAGCATATTATAGCATTCGGCACGATATGGCCAGTTATGTGTTGACGTGCAGTAAAAATTCAAAACAAAAAACAAAAAAGATCGCCATTTTATCATGAAAAATATGAATTTATAAAATTATTGATTATACATTCAACAAGTCGTTTTTTCTTCGCACAGGTTTTGTCTCAAATATGCATGCACTTGTACAAATTACACATACAATCTGGCAATTATCTAAATAAGCATTTTTTTGCGTTTGATTGGATTACTGGTTTTTTCGTGAAATTATATTTGATAATTTCACAGTAAAAATATCACAATATTATTCGGCACTTTTCAATAGCGATACTTCTTTTTTAATTGCTTTCGCGAATTTTCTTCCTAACTTAATTTTTGCTTACAATTCGAATATGTTTTAATAAAATAAATTATATCATTGCCATTTAAAGTTGATTTCTGAACTTATTTGTTAGCACAAGACTTTATGTTTTTATGAGAGATTCGTCTGAAATTTAGCGCTACCAGTCGGGAAAACCGATATTGATATTTCAGTTAATATTACGGAAATTTTATTTTAAATTGTATTAAAGCATAAAATAAAAAGAAAATGTTACTTCATTTCATCTTACACAAAAACAATTCTTAAACTCCACGTGATTTTGTCACTTTACACAAAGAAGAAAACATAACCGTCTTAAACTGCCAATAAACAATGGTACGGAATTACATGTATATGCGGCTGTTATTTATACCTTTGTTTCACAAGAGATAGGACATGAGAATGTTTTTTGTAAACAGTCTTAGACGATGCTTAATAGGTTGTTGTACTCACAATTGCAATGCGAGAAGATGACACCATTATAGTTATTTCGAAAAGTTATTCAATTAAGAACGTTACCATTTATTAGAAATCCTTGACAAACATAATAAGCATAACATTAAATGTCAACAAAATGTCGACCATGTTCAAATTGCATACTTAATGTTGAAATTGGTACACATTTAACAATACCTTTTTAATAACATTTTTGCAACTTTTGTCTCTAAAATCATTTATCACATTGACTGTGGATATTATGAATCTTTTCAATGAAGTAAATGTATATATAAAATAGAAATACCAGTTCAATAATTTAGAAGGGGTGCAATCCGGAACTAAATTGCTATATTTTTTGATTTGTTATCATCCAAATGATAATTTTGTAATTAAACTTTTTTTCTGCTTATATTTACACAATCATGACCTCATACAACATAGTAGATAATTATATGTAATAACATATACCTTCATATTACATAATACAATATCGGGTTATTAGAATTAGTCATAATTTACGAAGCAACCTTATAAGGCTAAACATTACATTTTGTATGATAATTATTTTAAGCCGTTGGTTTTTTCTTACTGAGTAAATGAGTTTACTTGTTTAGAACAACAGAAACAACGAAATTGATGACAGGGTTCGAAAATGTTATAAGTTGCCCGAAAATGAGTATGCTGAAAAGGTGTTTAAACTCAGACCCATAAGCATGATCTTTTTCAGATCCCCCAGATATTTCACCTGTCATACATGGAGTTGAAACTAACGATCCGTTATCGGTCATTGTGTCTGATAAAGGCGCGTTTGTTTGTTCGGTTACCGGAGGAAACCCACTTGCATCATTGGAATGGAACTGTTTCGACAGTCAGGACATAACAATGAATACCCAAGAAAGCACCGTAACAAGCACAGTTAAATGGACGGCATTGCGCAATTATAGCACATGTTCCTGTACGTCACATCACACATTAAGTAATTGGAAAAGAATAACAAACCTTACAGTTCATGTACAATGTAAGTATAAGTATTACGTGCCTTTGAGTGTGTCATAACATTATGTAAACCAAAAGGCTAATATCTTATCTTTTGAAAGCAACACATTAATAAAATTTGAAATGCATGATAATAAAGGTGTATTATTGTTCCGAATCTTTACGATTTACGCCCTTAAAATCCTTATTTTATTTTTGTGTTTTCAATTCATTGACCGTTTATTGCTTGATATTTTGCCGATTATTATTTAAATTATTTATAAATTGTGGTTACTTAACTTAATATCATAAAAGTGTATGTACATTATCAATTCATATGTATTATTTTTCTTACTAGTTTAGTTGTTGTTTTTTCCTTTAAGTTCCTCCAACCAAACCACATTTTAAAATTGGACAAACAGATGTATTTGGCGTTGTTCGTGTTATACAAAACAACACTCTGCGAGTTGCTTGCTACAGTGAAAGTAATCCTTTATCTAACTACACATGGATTGGTCCAGGGTTTTTTTCTGACAAAGGTGATACGATAGAAATAACAAGCGTTAAACTTAGCAATCAGGGGAATTATAAATGCGTGGCGTCAAATAGGATGATAAGAACGAATGGTTCATATGAAGACGGGAGTCATACGTCATCATTAAATCTAACAGTATTGTGTAAGTACATTATAGTAAATCAATCATAAACAGATTGATTTGTTCACAGATGATGTTTTAATATCAAATCATTTACTTTACCTTTATATTGTGTCACGTTTCACAAAATATGTTACTAATTTTGATAATTTCAGATCCTCCAAGCAAACCAAAATTTAAATTTGAAAACTCCAGCGGACAGCTCATTCAATCAAATATATTTTACGTAGTGAGAAATGATACGTTTTCCATTTACTGCGATGTCAAAGGAAATCCTGATCCTGACATCAAATGGGATGATAACAAAAGCAATCCCAGATTGAGTATATCTAACATCTATTTGGACATTAATAGTACATGCAGAGCAACAAACTTGATGAAAGAATTTGCAAGTCAAATAGAAATAATTTCAAAGTCGGAAGCACCTTTTTCAATAATTGTCCTTTGTAAGTGTATATTTACAGTTTCTTAGCTAAAGTAAGCACATAATTGATTATTATATTTGAAAGAAAAAATATTGTAATCACACATTAAGATTTGATAGTGTTAGTTTTCGTGACAAAATGTCTTTGCCATTTTTACTTTATATATATTTCATTCAAAGGTGAAGTATTACAGAGGTTCAATACTCGCAACAAATTCATTAAAAGTATCTTATGTCAGTTATAAATTTATCTCATTACGTTACATTTTATAATTTGTACTCAAGATCCTCCAGGGCCCCCTACAATACACGTTTCAAATGATAATGCGACAGCGTTCAGGTTCAAAATGGAAAACGTCAGTATTATTGAATCAGAAACAATCAATGTAAAATGTTTTTCGACAAGTAAACCAATGCCGACATACAAATGATACATGAGCAAATATATTAAAACACAGTCGACGAACGTTTTGAAATTTGTCAACATCAATCGACGGGAAAGTGGAAGATATGCTTGCAACGTTGAAAATATTATGAAGAGATCAATTGGCAAAACTGAAGTAGGGAAAGATACCTCACAATTAATTTTGAACGTATTATGTAAGTATAAAAATTATACACTAATTTTCAAAGTCCTTTACCTAAAAGAGGATACCGGTATGTGTAAAATTAATTGTTTCAAGGATTTCACCTTAAAGATTTTTTACTTCAAATTATAAAATAGAGAGTGAAACCTACGATTTAAATTTTTTCTAGTTTTGGGTTATAACAACTCGTTTTTCATATTATGTCGTTGTAGCGGAATTTCTTATATTTTACTTTTAGAGACAAGGCATTGACGGAACACATTACATTGCAAAAAATCACTGAATTACTTACCAGCTAATTTTTATTTGCACTTTCATTTTTCCAGTTCACACTTTCAGAAGATTTGTTCATAGTTACACAATAGATACCTATACCTATACTTTATACGTACGCCATTTGACAACATTTTGTTGAACGATTCAATAGAAAATAAGTATTAACTTTTTCGTGTTTAACATTTGTTTGATCTATGCCTCTGTCATTCTTGAAGACAATATTCAGTGCAGAAGTATGACTCCATTTGAGTCATTTGAAAATGTCGACCTCTGAAAAACTCTAACTACTGTTTTCTTTTTTAAAACAGTTATCGTTAAGGATGTTTATGTCCGATATATAATACGCTTTATATTCATTATTTTGATAGCACTTGCTTTTCTATTTAAACAATATTTTCTAGTTCTTTGTCCGTTAAAATTGCTTGTTTGTTTAAACATTATAATATTTTTTTTTTATTTATAGATCCAGCTATAGTGAATGGTATAGATGACGTAAGTATTGTTGAGGGATCACAATTGGAAACAGTATGTCCTGTAGTATATGGCAATCCTTCAACCTCTATAGTAACATGGTCCAGACAAGGTGAAGCAAGTCTATCGAACAACAGACTGTTGTTTATCAAGAACGTTTCAAGAGCAGACAATGCAATGTACACCTGTAGTGTAATAACAGAAATGTTTCCTACAATTGGCACTGATTTAAAAGCTGAAAGAAGAAACTCTTTTCACTTGAACGTTTTTTGTAAGATTTTTACATGTTTCTTGATTAAATGATAAATGATACATGCAATTGGTTAAGTGACTATATTTTTTACAATAAAAATACTTTTCTATTCAAGATTTTCTAACATTTATACAATAAAAATAGAGCGATTTTAATCATGTCCTTAGAATCTTCGTCTTATTTCAGTTCCATCAGAAATAAACAAATTTACGATATCTACGGTTAGCTCAGGTCGAACCTTTTTAGTTAATGAAACTCAAAAGCCATACTTTGAATGCATTGCTGAAGCCAATCCTCCACCAGATTTAAAAATAAAGTCTCCAAGGGGTGATTACATTATCGAGGTATCACAGTCAAATATTGCTCGCCACACATTTTTACGTAGTGCAACGTATAAAGATGCCGGAGAATATATTTGTAGCGGAAGAAATAACTACACAACGGACTCACCATCACAGTCAAAGTTGATTCTTATAGTTAAAAGTAAGCAACCTAATGCTATTTTTATTTATTCAATGCAAGTTAGTTACCTAGCAAGATAATTGTAATAATGAAATATAATTTCATAACTTACACCTTTATTATGATAATTGAATAAACCCGTATATAAATTTTAAAAAAAGCATTGTACGTCAGATTACATGACTAATATAATTATTTTAAGTCAAATGGAAATACATATTTTTGCCTGCAGGCCAACCAAGACCATCCTCTGGCGACACAAGTGTTATGAAAGTGGCAACAGTTCTGAACGTTGATGTAACATTACCATTTATAGCTTTGAATTATCTCGATGAACCAAACAAAACAATGTTCCGTTGGTTTAAGGACAATGTTTCCATTCCCGATAATGACAATAAATACTTGATACATTCAAATGATTTACAAACCAATATTACTATAAAGAACACAACTCAACGCGATTTAGGGCTTTATAAAGTAGATGTGGAAAATTCAGTTGGAATGTATACTCAGTATTATGAATTGAAAGCCACAGGTTAGTACAGTTTATGTTTACTTAAACAATGGTGTAGTATTAGTTCTTGACAAAATAATATACATAAAATCCGACGGTAAGTATCTTGAATATATTACACGAGTTGTATTTAATTATCATCTTTACACTTGAGTGCAAGCAACATTGTTATTATTGGTGAAAGTATTCACTTTATTTTTTTTAAGATAAGCTTTTGAGTTTACCATATAACTTATAATTTACAGATAAACCAGAGCGACCAAAGGACTTTAGTGTCATGAACGATTCAATTACAGACACAATGGTTACACTAGCATGGAGTCCTGGTTTTAATGGAGGATTTCAACAAACATTTGTAATACTCTACAAAATAATGCAAGAACATATATGGTTAAACAAATCAATAAAAGACAACGGTGATTTCAATATGAATTATACTTTAAATGACCTCTCAAGTCTACAAGAGTATGAAATAGAGATGTTCGCAAGAAACATAGAAGGACACTCGTTTCACACAAATCGTCTTCATTTCAAAACTAAAGGTAATCAAACACATGATGTATCAATTAAATACTTGTAACTGGTAAAAGTAATATGTTAAAATACTTATCATGTCAGAAGTAAAATCGAAAGGTGTATTGAGCTTGGATCTACTTTTTCCTTTCACATGTCATGTTAGTAAACACAAAAACCCATGTATGATTATCGTATCGATCGCACTCATGATAGGTTTAAAACATGACCTGCAACTGTTATAACCTAATTATTTTTAAACGGTCAAGGAACGTGTCCATTATATTGAATTTAGTTCTAGCCTTTAAATCATTATTATTATGTATCATATATTTACAATGATTAAATTGCATAATTTAATTTAATATTTACACCCACCGAATATGCACAATTTTATTTTTTTAAATTATAGATAGGCCTATTTTTTTATTTTTGTATTAATTCATGTTACTGTTACAATAGTTTTATCTTGATGATATGACGGAGATATCATGATGATAAACAGCGTATATCATTTAGTTGGGATGCTCCTAGTTATATCTTTTCTTAAATTGTCAGAAAAGTATACTATCGGTATTCAATTTAAGCGACCATTAAGAAGACGAAGGAAACTATAGGATCTTCAAACACGGGGGCATTTGTTGGTGTTGGTGTCGGTGCATCTGCTGTTACACTCGCAATAGTTGCTGTGTCTTTTTTCGGATACAAACGATTTAGGTAAGTGGGGGATATATTTTTTTCTGATAAAACAAATAACATGAAAATGTTATCGATATTCAATTTAAGCAAGCCTGCAGAAAACAGAGGAAACCACGAATTCTTCAAACATGGGGACTTTTGTTGGTGTTGGTGTCGGTGCATCTGTTGTTACACTCGCAATTGTTGCTGGGTCATTTTTCGGATACAAAAAGTTTAAGTAAGCAGGGGATAATTTTTTCTGATAAAAATTTGATAATATGTTCGAATTCTCATTTAATAAACAAAACATCCATATAACAGTATTTTTGAGCCATGTGTCAAAATATCATTTCAAAGCTTCACTTTGGTCCCTTGACTTTTATTCAGTCATATTCACCAATAAATTGTACAATGAAAATTTGAAAGCATCAAATTTGACATAGACATGACATCCAGTAAGCTGTTTCGATAAGATTTGATTAGTCACGTTTATGAACCGTTCAGAATCAGTAAAGGCGATTTAATGTATACTATGTGCTTATTGTGCGTCTTCATATTGAGAAATTTAAAAACGGCCTTACAATTCCAACATGCATTATTATGACAGCAAAAAATCACAACAATGAATCTCGAATTGTTTATATTACTAAAGTCATGCCTGTGAATATGCATTATATATAGAATAAAGCTATACAATGTAAAACGAATAATAAAATATCATAAAAAGGTCATGTATGTGCTTAATAAATCTGATGTACTCAAAACACTTAAATGATTTTAAAATCCATTTCTGTTCGTATCGGAAAAGCAATTACCTTTCCCACGATGCATATATCAACGTTAGGAGAAATATTGGATACTTGAATACATATATGTTCAAACGTTAGTTAATAGAAACACCAGAAGAAGTTTAAACTATGATTGATTTTACTTTATCTGCTAAAAAAACGTACGCAACATTAAATGATTCAGTCGTAAAAAGTAAATGGTTCCGCCCTTCTCTTCTTCAATTTTCTTTGCTGATTTATATGTTTGTCTAGTTTTTTTGGTTGAAACATATTCATTTTAAGCCAGGTTTCGGAGCAAGTTCCTGAAACAAAATATATTGCTTTTTTTATTATCCATCATGTACAGAACCAATCACTCTAAGTCTGCAGTTTCCATTTTCTAGTTTTGTTGTGATTAATACTACCGGGAGGGTGTCACCCTTCTTCACACTCATACATCACAACAGCAGCTGATAAGCGCCATAATTATGGCAGATTTAAACATTTGCCCCTTATTGCTTTCCAGTATCGTAATTTACTGGTGTAACTCTTCTGGAACGATGGTTAGGAACCTACCCGCCCATATGACTGACATACTGTTGGAAAAAGGTGTAAAATGAAGCAAACAAACAAACAACACAATATATTTGGATCCTTCGGGGTCATTGATTCCAGCAATTTTAAGTATTGAAAATTGAATATCCCTCGTTGCTAGCGGAAGTGAGGGATGTTGCACTTTTTCATTATCTCTCAAGTACAGTCTCCATCAAACAGAACCTGCACTTGTCATGAACTGTTGTTGTGATCTATGCTTTTGAGGAATCACCCTTTCTACAGATCTTTATATAAATCACTTTCCATTCCGTTCCCTGGAACTAACCAGGAGTAGAATTATATGTTGACACATGGTAGTGAACAGGTAAGGGCTCAACCCATGATTCGTGGATTGGGTGGCAATGACTTTTTTTTGTCTGTTTGTTAGTTCAACAGTTAAAAACAACCATAAAAACAGGTTTATTGATAAATAATTTTCTGTATCTTATAACAATGTGATATTTATATAGTTAAATTTTCTTCACTGTTGCTATTGTTATATGACTAATAGCGCTTGACAAAAACTTGTGTTTTCAGAAATATAAGATCTTCACAACGTGAGAGTCCCAAACAAGGTAAAAACATTATATTTTTAATAAACCTGCATGCTTACGTTTTACCTGCTGTTACGTGTATAAGTTGTAACAATTTGTGTGTATAAATATATTAAGTAAGTTATATAACTTGTTATGATATAGAGTTATATTGGAATACTTATAATAATACACGTTTGTAATGTCGCCTTCCATTGGATAATCGTGACGTTTATAAAGTTGTATATGCACAGCTGCTGTCAATTTATGACAAATCTCCTTTTTTTCTCTTAAAAGGAAGTTTGCAGTATTATAAATTCGTTATAAATATTCCTGACAGGTTATATGGATGAATATGGATGGATATAAACAGTTGTTGCAATATAGCTCTCGCCTAGCGGCTCGGGTTATATTAATAACCGTTATATTGGGACAGATCACCTGTCCAAAATCATTTTAACTAATAGAATATAAATGATTTTTAAGGTTCACAGGGTTTGTTGCCTTTAAACGTTACAAATTTATACAATCTCTTACATACTCGAACATTAAAAAACATAGTTGATTTGCGATACCTATAATATATACTCGTTGATTTAGGTGTTACTGCTGGGAGCCATGTCTCATCCAATTACACAGAATTGGATGCAAGCAGGAGAGAAATAAATAATTATGATGACTTCAATGTAGCATATGAACATCTGAACGCTTCAACCCGGGAGCCAAATACTTACATGGAGCTGAAAAATACACATGTACTGAATGCTGACACTTCAGACTACGTTAATATAAGAATATGAACTAAATTTAAATTGATTCATGAAATGTTTCTAAATAGTTAATTTTGTTTAGCGTAACATTCATAAAATATAGGCACGAACAGTTCGCAAAATATCATATTATTATAGTAACTGTTATGTTTAGATTCTATGTGAATTCATGATAAATGTATGCTGAAATCAATTGTGAAGAACACATTAAATGAAGTATTTCACAGAAGAGTACAGAAAAGAAAACTGATACTTAAACAAATAAAGTTATATTGCGAATCATATATTATAAATATTGTTGAATGAAGAATGGCTTTAGTTTTAATTTGTAGTTCTAAGTATCTAATTTATGTTTGTGAATGGTACATGTTGATATTATATTGATAACAATGTTGCTTATAATGGAAAAATGGTTCATACATATTTTTATGGAACTTGAAGTGATAGAAACTATGATTTGTACATACTTATTGTTATAATGTTGTAATTGTTGTTGTTGTTTTTTGTTTGTGCCATACTCTCGAAAGCCTACTGTGAAAACTTCTAAAGAACGTGCAGATGCCTACTTCTGTTATGGACAAGCTTTGTTAGACTTGGCTCGAATGGAGAATGGTGTGCTTGGAAACGTCTTTCAAACATATTAAAGGTCTATGTCTAAATATTTTATAATTATGATAAAAATAATGCAAATAAAGTTATTGAATTCTGAGTACTGTACCTTATATACCGTGAAGAACTGAAACACGCACACATACTATGTATCGTTCCGAAACGTCAATCAGAAGAAGGAGTACATTGATTGCTTAAATTTACCACCCTTTCATACCTTTATAGTTGTTATTATTAACGGTTTAAATGTATGTTTAAGTTATTCGTATTAGTTAAACAAAATTTATAATTATTGATACATTGGGTAGATCAAATCCAAAATACAGATATTTTTATTAAAATAAATAAAGACACACTTGCAATGTTTTTGTTTTTGTTCATTCTAATTTTGAATCATAGAAACGATATAAATATAATTAATTCTGAATGATATATTAACCTTTTCTATATGAACATTTCCATTTAAATATGTTTTTATTGAAATAGATTTTAGCTAAGAGGGTATTCTGAGCAGTGTTGAGCAAACTGCATACAACAATATTGTTTTACCAATTTTATGCGATATTTCTATCTAATGTGCGTCCATAAGGTGATAAACTTTATAATAAATATTTATATAATTATAAATAACTAAAAGCCTATGAACACAGAATTTAAACTTACCTTGTCAATCTTGTTTAAATGAGATTATATTTTCCGCAGTTCATTAATATATCAAACTAGGTAAGAGGTTTGAAACATGATTTATTGAAACATCACTTATTCATTATCACAGTCGTTTTTCACATTAAATGTGTATTCCCCAGAACCAGCCAAAGCAAGTCAGTTCTTAATGTACTAGGATCACGTTATAATTATAACATATCTTACCATTTATGTTATATGTCTGAATATGTATGTATCCTTTATTTTTTTTTCTAACATATTATATGAATTCATACACATTGTCTCAGTAGATTGATGCCATCACTCTGTTGTAAATTCAAAATAAAGTCGGAGAAGAACTATATAAGATTTTATATATTTCGTCCTAATCCTTTTCAACATTGTATATATTGAATGAATGTATATTATGTACTGTGTATGATTATGAATAAAATATACTTAAACTAATTCATTTTCTTTCAATTAACGCGCCAAGGGAAATAGCAAAAAAATAATTACATTACTAAGGTTACACTTGTTATATTAACTGATTGTACAGCATTCCAACTAATTGCAAATAAAGTAATGCTTTCGTTAGGAAGTTGGCTTTATTATTCATTTTAATGATACTTAAAATCACATAATATAGCATAAAATTGATTTTGTATAAGCATACATATAGACATTTGTTAACAACTTATATTTAAGCCACATGGTTTGTCAAATTGGAAGGGCATTATCAACATAACAAAATCCAATGTTTTGTTCACTTGGCTATCTAAAACAAGCAAATACACTAAACTATAAAACGTTTAGAAAGTAATTGTCTTGCTTTCACTAACAATTTTAGAAAAAACTATTCAAAGTAAATGTCACCTAATTGATGAATTTAGAACAAAGATAAGAAATTATGTATGTCGATTTGAATTAAAGAATTCCCTAAATTATTGTATAATCATAATTATTACTTTAAACATAAACGCGATAATTACCAAAATAATATAAATATGGGAATAAAAGACGGATAGTTCAAAATATAAAAGAATATTTTGAAATATATTGAATAAATTATACTTATCTTAAAGGCAGTTTATCCAGAATATTTTATTCATCTAACTGTTAAATTAACAAATACGAACTATATACTTAGTAAGTACACATGCTCAACTTAGAGACAATATAAATTGAAGAAAAGTCGACCATTTCGACTAAAATTGAAAAGAACACAATACGTTAAATATGATTTAAATATATATTGTTTACGTATGACATAAATGCATGCAATTTAGGCGATACATGTACTATGATATGTTGTTGCTCAGCAATTACTAGTGAATAGATTAATGATACATATTCTGAATTACGGCTGCAACGATTAAACTTTGCAGTGTATCTTTTTATTACTTCATCAAAACATAAACACAAAATACAATACATTTGGCAAGTGTCATTTTATTTCACGAAATACGTCACAATTATATTATCATGGTTATCTAATGTGTAGGGAAAATGTGTGGGTCGGATGTTTTAATATATTTTGACTGAAGTTTCAACGACTTATACTTCCAAGTTGGCAGGTTGACCTTATTAGCTATAAAAAGTATTAATTCAGATTCAAATTGCACAATGAGGTTAAGTATTTTGACTTATATTCCTCTATATACTTTTAAACTTTTATTTGAAATGATAAATAAATATATAAAAAACTTTTCAAGTATTTAGATTTCGATCATTAAAGGCACTTTTTGTTTGAGATTATTTACTATTAGATATTGGAGAAAGATAAAAAAAATCAAAAAAAAATCGATATGCAGATATAATTTAAAATGACAAAAAGTATAGTCAGCTTTATGTTTATGTATTACTCTGCAGCTTTCATCAATTTATTACGATTGATATTTTTACAGTCAAATGTCGCTAAAGTTGTAGCTTGTAAATATTGATGTCGATAATAGTAGAAATTTATTTTAAATTATCTTACATCTTTCACATATACATGAATCGTCACTTTTTTTCTGGTCGTTTATTAATAAGTGAAAGTTGGTTTTGCGAGTCGATGTTAGCAAGATTTCTTAGACGTAGACTTTAAAAGCATAGATTTCCTTTTACCCAATCTAATATTTAAAAATCAAATAATCTTTATTTTTCTTTTATTTGTGTCGACTCTTGTTGTATATATAATAGTAATGCCGACGTAGCTTTTAACCATAATAAGTGCCTGTGCATTTTTGGTTGATTTTGATGAAAATAAATCGTGTATTTAAAAAAAAAAACTTGAATTTTCTGTTTATTATAAACTTATTTTCCTTTTTAATTTTATACATTAGGAATGATTCCATTTCACTTTTGTTTATTAGCTGAATTAGGAAAAACTAGTCCGGCAAGACACCATTGAAAAATATGGAAACTATCAGTGAAAAATAATTTTTTACAGTGAAAATACGGAAATTGAAAATACGCATTTTATTTCATCAATATTTCTCAATATATCATTTATAAGTATATAATAAATGCTGTATCTGAGATTTAAGATGCTATTAATGCCTTTTGCGACAAACCAATAAACAAATCGCAATTATTATAGTTAAATGTTAATCTTTTCACGTTTAGAACAGTACATTGTTATTCATTTATTATTTAAAGGTTCTATTTGGTTTTTACATGTATCCTTCAAATATGATATTTGTACAACATAAGCTAATGTGCATTTAACTTCATGTTGAATTCAACATGCATGTATATATCTAACTTTTAGTTTCAACATTATTATTCATAGTCATACACAGTGCTTAATATACATGCATTCGATATATACAAGGGGTTATCCAAAAATTTTCTTAAAAATATAATTTGAACATGAACGTGTATTGTAATGAAATTTTATCACCATACATTGTAGAATATTATCAAGACGTTTGGAAACGAACAGTTAACTGCATCAATAAATAATGATTTTATATTGCTTTTTAATAAGCACATACACGGCACGGATATTGTTTACAACGGGAAATGACGGACACGCAGAAATTAGAAAATAGCGTGATCAAAAACTTGTGTTGTAATTTAGGAACGAGACTAACGAAAAAAAAAACAAAAAAAAAAAAAAAACGGCAGGCGAAAAGAGAAAATAAAATGTCACTTTTATTATTATTTAATTGGCATACAAAATCTAGTGATGAACATTGTTTTAATATATTTTGACTGAAGTTTCAACGACTTATACTTCCAAGTTGGCAGGTTGACCTTATTAGCTATAAAAAGTATTAATTCAGATTCAAATTGCACAATGAGGTTAAGTATTTTGACTTATATTCCTCTATATACTTTTAAACTTTTATTTGAAATGATAAATAAATATATAAAAAACTTTTCAAGTATTTAGATTTCGATCATTAAAGGCACTTTTTGTTTGAGATTATTTACTATTAGATATTGGAGAAAGATAAAAAAAAATCAAAAAAAAATCGATATGCAGATATAATTTAAAATGACAAAAAGTATAGTCAGCTTTATGTTTATGTATTACTCTGCAGCTTTCATCAATTTATTACGATTGATATTTTTACAGTCAAATGTCGCTAAAGTTGTAGCTTGTAAATATTGATGTCGATAATAGTAGAAATTTATTTTAAATTATCTTACATCTTTCACATATACATGAATCGTCACTTTTTTCTGGTCGTTTATTAATAAGTGAAAGTTGGTTTTGCGAGTCGATGTTAGCAAGATTTCTTAGACGTAGACTTTAAAAGCATAGATTTCCTTTTACCCAATCTAATATTTAAAAATCAAATAATCTTTATTTTTCTTTTATTTGTGTCGACTCTTGTTGTATATATAATAGTAATGCCGACGTAGCTTTTAACCATAATAAGTGCCTGTGCATTTTTGGTTGATTTTGATGAAAATAAATCGTGTATTTAAAAAAAAAAACTTGAATTTTCTGTTTATTATAAACTTATTTTCCTTTTTAATTTTATACATTAGGAATGATTCCATTTCACTTTTGTTTATTAGCTGAATTAGGAAAAACTAGTCCGGCAAGACACCATTGAAAATATGGAAACTATCAGTGAAAAATAATTTTTTACAGTGAAAATACGGAAATTGAAAATACGCATTTTATTTCATCAATATTTCTCAATATATCATTTATAAGTATATAATAAATGCTGTATCTGAGATTTAAGATGCTATTAATGCCTTTTGCGACAAACCAATAAACAAATCGCAATTATTATAGTTAAATGTTAATCTTTTCACGTTTAGAACAGTACATTGTTATTCATTTATTATTTAAAGGTTCTATTTGGTTTTTACATGTATCCTTCAAATATGATATTTGTACAACATAAGCTAATGTGCATTTAACTTCATGTTGAATTCAACATGCATGTATATATCTAACTTTTAGTTTCAACATTATTATTCATAGTCATACACAGTGCTTAATATACATGCATTCGATATATACAAGGGGTTATCCAAAAATTTTCTTAAAAATATAATTTGAACATGAACGTGTATTGTAATGAAATTTTATCACCATACATTGTAGAATATTATCAAGACGTTTGGAAACGAACAGTTAACTGCATCAATAAATAATGATTTTATATTGCTTTTTAATAAGCACATACACGGCACGGATATTGTTTACAACGGGAAATGACGGACACGCAGAAATTAGAAAATAGCGTGATCAAAAACTTGTGTTGTAATTTAGGAACGAGACTAACGAAAAAAAAAAAACAAAAAAAAAAAAAACGGCAGGCGAAAAGAGAAAATAAAATTTCACTTTTATTATTATTTAATTGGCATACAAAATCTAGTGATGAACATTTCTTTGTGAAGCAGCAATGGTTATTGACTGCGTTACGTTGAAGCATAAGTTGTACGTTAAATATTATGACGTTGACGTCAACAACTTTTATGAGTGCGCCGCTGTCGCTGACATGTGTTTCTGTAAAATTACATATTTTTGTAATATAATAAGCTAGTAAAATGATTTTGTTCTGTGTTTATTTGCTATTTATTCTTTTAAGAAGTGTAAGAATTTCAAATCAATATCTCAAATATATTTCACGCAACAAAGAAATTCCAAGAATTTTTGGATAACCCCTCGTACAATGTTAAAATGAATTAGAACGAAAAATAAAGTTCTTCTCCGATTTACAACAAAATGATAGCATCAATCTTCCAAGACAATGTGTATAAATTCATATAATATGTGGAACAAAACTGAAAAATACATACATATTCAAACATGTATAATAAATGGTAAGATATGTAGTAATTATAACGCTATCTTAATACATTTAGGTCTGACTTACTTAAGCTAGTTTGGAGAATACAAATTCAATGTGTAAAACGACTGTTGTATTGAATAAATGATGTTACAATAAATGATGTGTCAAACCTCTTACATAGTTTGATATATTTATGACCTGCAGAAATATGATCTAATTTGCTTCAATTGATTGGGAACCCTCCATGAACGATGGTTAGGAAACTACCCGCCTGTATGACTGAACTATTGTTGGGAAAAGGCGTAAAATCAATCAAACAAACAAACAAGATGACTTCTTACAAAGGTGCTATTACAATTGAAATTATATTTAACAGAATGTTTCTCATGTTATCAAATACTTGACATTCATAAAAATAGTGGTAGGTTGACTCAAGTTTAATACAGTGACGAACGGGCGATTGGACAATATTCTTTAGAAATAAATATTGACTGAGAGAGCTTCAAATTCTTCAGAGACGCACGTGAAGTACTTTCCAGTCATCTTAATAGAATAAAGAATTGTTTCGTAACTTCCCTGCTATAAGAAAGACTCCAAGCTGGGCAATGAGTCTGTACATCTTATATTGAGTAGTAATTCATTTTATTAATTCAATGATGAAGGAACGCAAGAGTTAGCGTAGAGGGAGGTTCTTTTAGATTAAGTTTGAAAGCTTGTGGAATTACGAACAAACATAAGTAAACGTTATAAATTAGACTGTTTGTCCTACCGTTCAATTGAATTTGTCCATCATTCAAGGTCCGATTATTTTCTTGGGAGGGGGGGGGGTAAATCTGTCATTTGTCATTTTGAGAGGTCTGTAAAACAAAAATTACAGACTCGAATCTTTCCTTTTTTATAAATCTGGTATTTCTTTGTATGAAATAAATAAATAAAATAGTAGGATGCTCACATTAAGATTGGCTTTACATCTAAGTTTTAATTGTTGTTCTTCTTCTAATTCATACCGAATGTTTGGACCTTTAGTTATTTTCATTCAAGGCTGTGAAAAAAACCCACTAAAAATCTATTAATGTTGGTCCTTAAATAAACAAAATTAAATTTAACAATAATTTTCAAAAAGCGTTTGTAAATTAAAGGCGCAATATGCCTCAGATTTATGTTTTATTCTTAGGAAATGTCAATCATTAAATTTTGTTTAACTAGTTTTTAAAATAGATTTTAAGCAATTTAGATGTTTAAAAACTAAAGAAAATTGGACTGTACGTGCAGTAATGTGCTGCAAAGATTACATGTACATGCAAACAAAATGGTATTTTGACTTTCGTACAGAACACTATTTCACTCTAGTTATACCAATTGCCAACTTAACAAAAGAAGGAGACAAATCGAACTATACTATACTAGACTAGCGAACTAGTTTTTTTCCAGAAAATGTTATCACATACAAATTATAAAAAGTTTTGTGAAACGAAATTGATAAAATGTCAGAGGCATAATGGGCCTTGAAGATATCAAACATAAACATTTTTATAAAGTTATTAGGCTTTTAGATATCAACAAGTTATATGAGGAATATTTATTGAAATGATAATTATCAAATGTACATTTTACATTTTAGTATATATTTGATAACCTGGATAATTTCATTAGTTCATATATGAAAAAACATTTAAATAAATAACAACAAAATACTTACGGTATTGGCGTATAAAAGTATGTTATAACGACTGCATTATTTTCATTTTCATTAGAGTTGTATATTACTTCATTCTTTTGATATACCCTGTTCTGCTATATCGAACACACACAGAATTGTTACCGTCCGTAAGCAATATTGTTGTAATTATACGTTGCAAAAGAAAGATCATCAAAACACGAGGCTATTTGATTTGTACGAGGGCGCGTAGTCCCCGAGTATAAATCAGATTGCCGAGTGTTTTGATGTTCTTTCTCTTTTGTATCATAGTCAAACATAAAAACGCGTTCCCTGTGGTCACAATATGAAATCCCAGAAAAAAAGTAACAAAAGAACGAGCATCTGAATATGAAATTTCTGTCGCTTCCCCTTGCTCTGCTCTTCATAATAAGTAAAGCCCAGCACAAATGAGCCAGTCAATGTGCGATAACTTACACCAGCACTCCAGTTAACGCACTGTGCATGTATATGTATACGATTTAACTCTGACATATTTTCAACAGAAAGGTCCTAAAGCTATGATTCAATAAAACTATACAGATCGAAAGTATTTCGTTTGTATTAAACTATATTGGTTAATCATTTAATAAAGACATGTATAAACTAGATACAGTGCTTACGCAACATTTGTAAGCATCAATAATATGTGAATATCTTAAGAAAACACACAATGCATGATAAGATTTAGTATTTGAAGAATTTACTTTGGGCATAAAACATCGTGCATGCAATTAATTAACACCTTAACTATATTTACATGTGAATGGTAAGCATAATGACATTCCGATTTATATGAATAATATATAATCTGTTTATTGCTCATTGAAGTTGGATAAAAAGAAGAAATCACATTGTGTCGAATATTCTTTAGTGATAATAAAGGTTATGTCATTTATCACTAAATGACCTTGACCTACCGATTTAGGTTTATTGTATATACATAAGATACTGTTTATACAAAATTCGAATCAGGTTATGGAGCTGTGTATAACTTATACACATGTATTGTGTTTATCGACAAGGATACCTTTTAACGTAAGTAGTTGTCATTGAATCCATTTAACATTAATCGTCATATATATTAGAATACTAAAATGTATTGAAAATATTAGAAAAATGTAAAAGCTATCTCATTCCATTCTTTAATTTTAATTCACATGTTTCAATTTTGCCGTGTTGGGCCTTCTTTAGGGATTCTTATTTATCTTTATTTTATATAAGCAAAATGTTAAATGTAAAACACATTTTAGCTCACCTGCCCACAAAGTGCTAAATGTGTGTACTATTGTATTCGCTCTGTTTCCGACAGGCATAAATCCGCGTAAAATTTCATACAACCGCCTTAGAAGGCCCCATTTTAAAATAATAGTAAAAATGCAATTCTCAAAGTATAAAGAGCTATTGATGCAAAAAAGAAACATAAGCATCTCCTTGTAGAAATTTGAATTATTTGTGGTACGTTGTGTTCATTGTTTTTTATCCACTAAGACATGACATATCAATAAAATTGGTCCGTGGTCAGTTGGTGGTTTAAAGAATGCATGGTTTTAAACAAGGAATTTCATATTGACCTAAACATACATGGTAAGAATTTGATTGCAAATTGAATGTTACACCCCCCCCCGCCGTTTTAAGTTACCAGTATTCTGATATTCGTTCTCAAGGTAAAAGCTAACATGGTTGTGTTTAATGAGATAAATGTATTTTATGATTACGCTATGGTATCAATTGTATACTGTTTCTTTTATATTGTTGAACGGGCTACAGACGACGGTGGTATGACAGCATTGTAATTTAAACTAGAATTCTAGTGTGTTTTTTTTTGTTTTTTCTCAAAAGTTTGATGCATACCAATGGTTTTTTTTCTGAACACCTTGTTTGTACTCCAATTATTGTTATGTGCTTAGCGGATGGCCTTAATGGATTGTGTAACATAAAAGCTGAATGACCATACCAGAACTAGTAGTTTTTGCACAACAAATTTATCTGAATCATTTCCTTAGAAAACCAAAGGCTTTTATTCCTTTGCACAAACATGCCATCCCAACCAACCTCTAACCAGTTATATTATCCGTTTCTGCTATGTTAAAAACGTATTTGGGACTAGCTAGATTTTCACTTACCACTTGCACGAAAAACATTATATGAAGCAATCTCTGTAGCTAGGAAAATAACATTAAAACTAGGGAAAAGTAAGAGCTTTCTTGTGTAAAAGCAATAAATGCTGAAGTGATCATTTACATGGTTAAACTTATTAACATAAAACTATTGCTATTTGTATCAGATTCAGGGTCAGTAAGAGTTACACCACAACACTGACTTAGTATAGAGCTTGCTTTAACTTGTGATTCATGTAAGAAATCTTACCCCAGTGATAGAGGAAATATTATGACAAAACATATCATTCACAGGTTATTGGAGAGATCATCAAATCTCTCCATCGTGTTGAGAATTATTGCTGACGGCATTAATTTAAGTTAATAAATATCATTGAAAGACTAAACTCATTTTAAAGAGTCTGCAAAAAATTAGAAAGGAAACAAAGAAAAAGCAACGAATCACTGGAGAGCCTTATAAGGTGAAAAGGTGTTATGTAACTAGTTTTCTTCATAAGAATATTAGTATTTCCATTCGGTCTCGACTTTAGTTGTTCTATTTTCAATAGTGAAAAGCTTTCGGACCCGGAACCTGTCTAGTCGAATTCTGGACGATTTTTCAATTTGTGTGTCTTGTTTATTCCTCTGAAAATTTATATCTCGGATCCGAACAGATTTTGCCAAATGTCACAAACAAATACTAAAACATCTTGCAGGTGTAAACGAAAATCCGAACTTTTCTTTTTGTCAGGAGTTTGGATTAGACAGGTTCTACTTTACAGAATAACGCCAGGTCGTATCACTTAGTTCGCTAAACTAGATTTTATCATTCTTAAATTAATGTCTATTTTAATGACTTTATTGTTATGGTTTTCTTAGATTTTAAGGTGCGTTTTGCATTCAAGTAAAACATTAAGAGATGCAGAATATACACATACTTAAATGTTTTTCGTTTATCTGTATCGTAAAACAAATCATATATATAGCAAAGAACAAAATGCACATAGTTGAAATAGTTGACATTCACATATTAATTATGAAAATATGAAACAGAACCTAATAATAAATATATGGGAGAAAATTCCATACCACGTACTCCCAGAAAGAAGCACCAGTAAGTATATTATGTAAGTCAATATCAATATTAACAATACCTATTTGTTGCACATTTTATGTAGTTGACTTAAATTCTAGTATAAGTAATGAGAAATTGGATATCTTTCTGATGGTTATTTGATAACGGAAACTTGTCACCAAAGCAGTCCAGTGTTGTTCTTTGATATTTATAGTTTTTTAGATGGATATTCTTCTGTGATACAAAAATATTATAAATGATTGATAAATGGTAAATCAATTGAACAGCACTTCCTTTAAGCTTAACATCTAAATGCCCATTGAAACAGTGTTAAGATTCTATGTAACAATGCAAACTATAGTACGGAATACTTCTTTTTAGGTTACTTAATATATCCATGTAGTGATGGTCTAACTTTTGGAAATGCAGAACTTGAAATTCCATTTAAGTGTCTTTGCTCTTTGTTTCATTCAAGGTAAGTGCGAGAATTTATACAGTCATTTTTTATACACAATTTGTTAGTGTTTTGATAAGCATTAATTTTATGTTTAGTACAGCTGCTTCTGACATATATAATGAACTTATACGAGGGGTGTTCAAATATGAATGCAACTGGGTCAATTGGCAGAAGTGCTTTACATACAGTGTCAAAATGATTATCTCAATCCTTCAAAATATTCACTACCATGCTGTTTACAAAGTTTTAGTCTTAAATCCAACATTAAAAACGTTTTCATAACATTTTTGAGTTATACTGTTCGGACACTGGAAAAAAGCCGAACCGATTTTTTTCCAGTTTGATATTGTCTTTGAGCAAGGTCTTGTTATGAGCCTCGGAAATAGGATAAAGTCACTAGGGGCAAGATCTGGCGAATAAAGAGTGTGTGGACATTAACATATTTATTATGAAAAAAAATGAAACAGAACCTAATGATAAATAAATTGGAGAAAATTCCATACCATGTACATACACGACATATTTCATTAAATAGGTTTTTCGCCTGTATACATAGAATACAACGGTTCTAAATATAGGACAGTATTGGTCAGTGAAAGGAGTCCTTTTCCCAAACATTTTTTTGGCTTTGGTATACAAGAGAAGATACAATGTAGCTTTAATCGAGCTATGGGTAAAGCTGGACTGAACTGATTTACATACGTATTATTTTAATTGAGAGCCTACACAGCCATCTGCGTCAAACATATCATAGGTCGGACAAAACATGTTAGAAGCGAGATATTGGTCTAGTTGCATTCATATTTGAACTCCCCTCGTATCACAATAAACACTTATTTACATCGTTGTTTGTTTCCTTTTTCGATTATTTTGAATTCTGAAGTCTCTTCAGCAATGTGTTACAGTTTATTAGCGCATTTGCACTTAGGTCGTTTTCTTTGCATTGTTAACATGTGTATAGCACTTTCTGACGCAAGCTTAATAGCTGTCTATACATGTATACTGTATACTGATACTTAAACATTTACGTAGCGATCCTTAACAATTCTTAAACATGCACACAAATTTGCTACGGAAAAATCAACCACGTATCCCTTCTAGTCCGTTTTAAACCGTACTGATACATACTGGTCCGTACGTAGACCGTACTAGTCCGTATTGATTCGTAGGCCCAAACTTGTCAACGATTTCCACGGTTTGATATTAAGAACTACGTATTTGTATGGTTACCCTACGTATAAGCTACGGTTTTAATACAGATTAATACCGCATTGCCACGGAAAACCACGATCGTAATACTTTGTACTTCGGATAGGCGGGGATAAGCACGGTCTGATATGCCCCGGTCACATATTCACGGACAATGCCACGGAAGAGCTACGGTCTAATCGTTCACGGAATACTACGGAAATGCGAAATACCGTAGTCCGCTACGGTTACAGTACGGACACACAGTGGTATGAGTACGGAGATCGACGGATTTACCACCAAAAGCCCCGGGAGAGATACGGATTGTTACGGACCGACACGGTTTGGTACGGAGCGACACGAATCAGGACGGATGAACTACGGATATAATACGGTCTGTTACGGTATAAGCACGGGTTAGTACGAATAAGTACGGTCTGATACGGAGAAGAACGAATTGATACGGAGAAGAACGAATTGCCACAAATCTATACGGACATATTATATCCGTCTACAACCTCTTGCATGCTCATTTTCATAATGCTTCACAAGAAAAGAACACATTGAAAACCAATTACAGAGTTCAATGATTCTGGCCAAGAGGATTCGGAACCGGTCTCATCGCGCCCGACCCTCGAGACATATCAGGGCCGATTCAAGTGAATTTCTTGAAGGGCGCCGGATCCTCACCAAGTCCTCACCATGAGAGCCTCATACTAAACATGAAGGGTCTTCGTAAAAGCCCATTTCTACTCCACAATCTTCTCTGTCTTCTTTTACCTGATAAGTTATGGACTAGTAATCATTAATGAAAAATTTTGATTAATACTGCTGCTTTGCTGTTCATTTTACAATTACGTTAATTATCGTAAATGTTTATGCTTTAAAATAAGTAAAAAGCTTGTTAATTAGTCTTATTATCACTCAAAGGCCAGCATCCGAGGCTTATGCGACACTTCGTTCTAAGTAATATTTAGTCCAACTTCACGATCCAATATAACATTACAGTAAATGTTATTCTATTACTTATGAATTGTAGTACGATATTAACATATCTAACCTTTAAGCATGCCATCAAGCAGCTCGACCACTGCCTCCGCATTCCGAGCCATCTCAATATAACGTTGCAGCCAGTAAAGGCAATTATCATTTATTGAATATTCACGCAAATTATTAGTCGTTTTATGATCGTGGCTTTCCGTGACGATGCCGTATTAATCCATATTAAAACCGTAGCTTATACGTAGGTTAACCGTACAAATACGTAGTTCTGCGTACCAAACCATGGAAATCCTTGACAAGTTGGGGGCCTTTGAATCAGTGTGGACTAGTATGGTTTTCGTACGGACCAGTACGTATCAGTGCGGTTTAATACGGACTAGTAGGGATACGCTTCGGTTGATTTTTTTGTTGTGCATGTTCAAAAATTATCAAGGATCGCTACAGATATACAAGGACTACTACGATTGATTACGGTTACAATACAGAGAGCTACTTACCAGTACGGGTAGCTACGGACGCTGCCGGAATTTATCCGTGGCTCTTCCGTTGGTGTAGTTCGTGAATATACAATCAAGGTAATACGGTTGCAAAACAAAATGGTACGGAATGGTACGGTCCACCACTGTTAAGCACGGATTAATTAAGTAACATGTATCATGTACGTTTCCAAGGGTATAAATACTACCTTCTTGTTAAAAACAGACATTCTTTGCGATTTCATTTTGTCGTACAATTAAGAACATTCAATAAAAGATGTTTTGCCATTAACTGGGTGCAACTGCATATTGAAATGCCTCAGAATAGGCAATGGTCAAGCTGCTTGATGACATGAATAAAGGTAAACATTATATTAATAACATTTAACGTTTCATATTTTACAAAACATTGGATCCGGATATTGGAGTAAATATGCACATAGAACCTTCGTCTAATAAGTCTCGCACGCTGACCCTTGAGTGATTATAAGATTAACACGCTAAACATAGTCTTAAAATATAATTCTTAACGTATTTGAAAATGGACAGGCAAGTTTAATTTAAAACAGAAGCAGTATTGGTCAAAAATGTTCATTAATCATTACTATTACATATTTAATCAGGTAAGAGAAGACAAAAGAGATGGTTGATTAGAGATTGGTCTTTTCAAAGATCTCTCCATGGCCGAACTTGTTTATGAGGGTCCGCTTTCCTACTGAACCCTTACTAGAATCGGACCTGATACGCCTCGGGGATCGGATGTGATGAGGTTGAATCCTCTCCGACAGAATCTTTGAAGTCGTGTTCTAGATTTTTTTTTTTGGCATTTTGAAAATGAGCATGCAGGAGTTTGTTGACGGATATACTAGTAATGGGTCCGTGGTGATTCGTTTTCCTCCGTATCAGACCGTACTTATTCGCACTAACCCGTTCTTATTACGTATCAGACCGTAGCTATATTTTCTCTGTTTTAGCGCATACACAAAATAAAATCCGTGCTTTCTTAAGCATAAACGATAAATATACTGATTTTAGAAGGCAAATGACGTATTCGTATCGTATAAGGGTTACATTTTGTGCGACGAATACAAGAGTGTAGCTTAACATCACTACCAAGATGATCTCTAAATAAATGATCTGCTTTTCATTAACTGCTATATCTCTGTCAGTCTGTGTCTAAGTTTGCTAAATGTTGGCATTGCAGAAGCATTCTATCCTTTGCAAAAAAAAATCTGCTACAGAATCAACACTGTAATTACCATACTGTAGGAGTTTTCCCCTTTATATTTTACCCAGAGATTATCTAAATGATATTTTAGATCTGACCTTTGGAGTTCAGTGGACCACAGTGAGAAAAGTATCATGCACCATTATTTGAATCAGATTGGTGTTATTAGCCTATTAATACCTACAATAATTGCACAATTATAAACAAACACCTTTTTCTTTCCAAAAGCAAAAAAGGTCTGAGAGATACATAAATAATGTAAAAAAATAAAATAAATAAAAACAGCTGCCTCTTCTGGTGTATAGACCCTTGCCCAGTTCCAGTGCAGTTGGCAATAATTCTAGCCTATTTGTATACTCTTCAAAGCGGAGGTAATGCATTAGGGGATCTTACTTTAAACGGCATATTGATTTAAATGTTTGTGAAGAAACATGTTATGATTATGTAGTCAGGAAGAAATAAAAGACAGTTTTCTCATACACATTACGTCAATATTCAAATAACACTCATCGATATGGCTTAAAGTAAAGATTTTCCTACATGTAGCATGACTTAAGGACAAACGTATACTTTAAAACTTACAGTATGCCCCCTTCTGTTTGTATTCAACATTCTTGTACTAATGTATATGTTTCCGACCTTTGATCTTGCTATGCTCTGCATTTCATTTATCAATTATTGCTTTGTTGGTCGATGAATGTATACCAAAGTCTAATTGATCGTTTATATCGAACACAGGACGTGCAAATCTATATAACTCTAAATCGCTATTTTATTCAATAACAGAACGTTTAAACGTTAAATTTAAATCACGTTTTATAACATTCTTGTTTTTTAAGTTTTTAAGTTACATCATTCATAGACCATCCGCTAATTAAAACTACTCACAACCTTCCCGCAAATAAAAACTAATCATATCTTCCCGCAAATAAAAACTACCCATAACCTCCCGCAAATTAAACTACTCATAACCTTCAGCAAATAAAAACTACTCACAGCCTCCCGCTAATTAAAACTAAGCATGTATAAGCTTGTTTTTATGTTCTTTAATACATGTAATATATTATCCCGTAAATATTTACCGATAGAACCGCTATGGTACATATGTTATACATTTGAATGTTTTGTAATGTTTTCTTGGGCATATTTGTGTATCTAAAAAGTAAATAAGTAACTGACAATATAACATATATATGTATTTGAAAAGCTTAGTTTTAATGATATTTTAGTTTCTTGTCCATGATTTAGAATCCGTGTCAACTGACATCGTGATCACTCCAAAAGTGATTGATGAGCTTGAGAAAAGCAACGTTTCCTTCAAATGTGTTCACAATGGAACTGGCTTAAGAATGACATGGCGGCGAAAAGATCAGAGCAATATCTGCTATTTTGAAACACATGATTGTAGTGTTCTCATAACAACACAAGACAGAACCACGTGCACATGCGAAAAAGATTCTAAGAACGAAACAACCGTCTCTTTACAAATATCAAATATCTCAAGTGCTGATCACAATACTTCCTGGTTTTGTGCAGTCGTTTATATGACAGAAATCCTCAGTCAAAAAGCATCTTTATTGGTCAAAGGTACTTATAAAAATAAAATATCGTATTCTCGAATGACTAATTAGATATACTCGGTATTTTCCTAGCATGTTAAACAATTCTACACTGAAATGCTGTTTATATTTTTGTAGAATAGATATGACTTATTAAACATAAGGCACTATATGAACAATTTAGCACACACATAACAGTACACTGAATTCAATGCTTCATTTCAAACTCTTACTTTTGTTGTCGAATGACGTAAAACTAACATCAAATTGCGTTTTGATAATGATAATTCCGAAAGCATTCATAAGCTCAATACTGAATCTATAACTCATATTGGTGTTTTATTACAAAACATTTATACTTTTAACTGACACTAACTCTATGCGAAGTTTTATTTCAGATGACAATAGGATCAACGACAATATGTATCCTTTAAAACCTTAAATTGTTATTTAAAAGATTTGTTACGATGTTTATGTATATTAAATAAAGTTATAAATAAGTAAAAAATAAAATTATTAAGAAAACCTAAAATACAAAAACATACTTACGACAACACTTGACGTATGACAATGTTTTCAATATTTTAACAAATGTATATTTTTAGAGAGAATGATTAAAAGCTTATGATGTCTCACTTAATTATAGTTCCAGTTAAAACATTGACTATCACGCCCTTTGCGAAGTCCATACAGATTTCTGAAAATAATACGACACTGTTTACTTGCAAAACTTCCTATAGTCGGCCGATTCCCGCGATTAAATGGATTCTAAAGGATCACAACCACTTGGAATTAACTGGAGAGCAAACAAATAAAACTAACCATATAGGTATGACTTCAGCGGAGAGTGCTCTTAATTACAAACCTAGCAGAACAAATAACGGTCGGAAGCTGTGTTGTATTGTCTCCAAGTCGGAAGTGCAAAAGGAAGAAATATCATCAAGTTTAATATCAATTAATGTCACATGTAAGTCTAACAGACTCAGTCAAACTGAGCATGCAATATTTTCAATTTTGTCGTTTTTGGCCTTCTATGGGGATTCTATTTTTCTCTATGTTTCCTTCATATAGCGTAACTTTATTGTTTCATCATGGCTCTAAATTAACTTAAAAACTTTAATTTTCATTTTTGTTTTTTATTGTCTGTTTTAATTTTGGTTTAAATTAATATTTTAAACCACTTTTCTATTCATATTTTCAAAATTTGAATTTTATATGTCTTTCAGATCCACCTGATTCCACCCTAATGATAAATGGGTTTCTCTCAAATGGAATTTATTATGTTATTGAAAATAACTCAGGTACTTTAACTTGCAACATCACTGGAGGAAATCCTAAGCCATTATTGTCATGGACTAGATGTTTTGATAATGAAATTAATTCTGGCAGCTCCTCTACAGCAGAAAGTGTGACAAATACTTGGCGGGCAATGTCCGACACTGATAGATTTTGTACTTGTCAATCAATTCAAATGGAAAGAAATGACTCTGTGTCTATAAAAGTCAAAGTCTTATGTAAGTTTGAACTTAACAATCGTTCTTTCTCTCAGATAAGTAAACATATTCAGCAATAATTTAACAATAATATTAAGATGATAACTTCTTCGGTGAAAATTATACGTGCTATTTATTTACAAATTTACAATATCTATGCACATAAAATTAAGACGCATTAGCAAGGGTTTCAAAAGTGTATTTGCCGGCTATATTTCAAATGTTAAGATATTCTCATTTAGCATTAGTTGCGTTATATCATTCAATTGTTTAAGTATCAAGTAACTTATCATTTTTGTTTGTTTGAAGATCCTCCTACCATACCAATACTCACGTACGGTTCATTAAATGTGTCAGGAAATATATATATAATACAAAACGAACAACTGTTGTTGGATTGCAGTAGCAATAGTAAGCCCCCTCCAACTTATCAATGGGAAGCAAAACGCATACCAGTTACTTTCAATAAAACATTGCAAATTCTGGTGACGGAAAAAATGCATGAAGGAAATTATACGTGTCTTGTTACAAATACAATGAACGCAACCGAGAGAATACAGAATGGTTCAAGTAGAAGCACTGTTGAAGTCCATGTTCTTTGTAAGTATTGTACTACTTTACTTTATCGAAATTAACTTAAAACACTCGTAACAAAAACTAAAATAAATATTGACATGTAGTTCCATGGCTTAATCAGCTCTCTAGAACTTTTGTAAAATAAAGGTCACTGATTTCAAAGCATTTGTCCTTTTCCGCTATGGGTTCAAATCCGTTCAGGGATGTTGAATTTTTTTATGTGAGGAAGCTACGTGTATCTGGCTTGCTAACGGAACAGCGGTTGTTCTACTTATGTACCCACTCGTAATATTGTAGGGAGAGTGCCTTAGTATTACTTCTTCAGTTGAACTGGAAGTTCGAAATTTGCTCTTTGTTTGTTCGAAGAAACCTCCAGCCTGGAAATGTTTTTTATATATACAAGAAAACAAACTAGTATGAGCACTATATTATACGAACTAATTCGGAAAGAAATAACGTCACAAAACAAGCATTGTTATAATAATCATAATGTTGGTAAAATATCGATAATTGTAGACGCCACTTTTAAGATAAAATCAAATGTATACAATGTTTTTATTTTTATTATAATTATTTCTAAACTTCAAATTTTAAATGTTTCTATCCCTTGATTTTTTAAGGCAGAAGATTATTTTTAACTACTGTAAATGGTTCATATATCATGTTTACTATTATGTTTAAGAATATCAAATATTTGAAACGTAATGACCTGTTACAAACGCTAAAACACGCCGTGACTAAGCTGACAGTAACAAAAATTATCAGAAAAAATCTAGAATATGTTCAATGTTATCAGAAGAACTCTAGGACATTTGAAATTTAGGGCAAACATTTGTTAGCCGAGCATTATGTTTGCAATTTTCCATTTTAACTATGTAATTATGTATGGCAAGTACAAATATCACAAGTCATGTCAACATGTACAAATGAGCAAATGTTTGGAAAGATGCTTCTCTAAAGATTAAGTATGTTTAAGACTATTACATGCAGGTATTTTTATCTGTATCTTCAAATACAAATCGTTTTAAAATAGTGCGTGTGTACGAAAATAGATGATTGAAAAAATAAAAGGTTGATTTGAAAATAAATAGAAGTTTGAAACGTCTTGTTTATCCGCTTTCAAACACGTTAGGAAACCTTACATAAAAGAAGATAAACATATTAAGATTTCAAACTATATGTTATGGCTTTGTACCTCAGTGGTGCTCAGCCTTCAAAACAACTGGAATGAAATGCCACAACAACAACAACAACAAAACAACCCCATCCCAAAACAAACAAAAACAAATAAAAAAGCAATAATTATCACACCCCTATCTCATAAAAAAATAAATAGAACTAAAAAAATCATAAGAAAATAAAAATAAAATGTAATGTCGCCATGATATGAATAATGAATTATCTATTAGACGTTTGAAACGTTTCTAGATCCGCCTACAATCAACACATTAGAAAACCTGACATTTATAGAAGGAGATACTCTTAACTTTTCATGTTCGGTAACTCATGGAAACCCAAAGGAAACGGTATTTTTATGGACATCTGAGGGGCATATGACCTGGTCAAGTCAATATATAACAATACGTAACATTTCAAGGGATGACGACATGAATTACAACTGCAGTGTTTACAACATTATGACACCAACTGGACAATCACCTGTTAAAGGAACAGACAGTAAAATGTGGCATCTATCTGTAGATTGTATGTACTATCTACTTTGCATGAACCATATAATATCATAAACATGTAGTTCTAAAAATTGTCTTACAGCTATTTACTCAACACAATAAGTGAAATATTGTTTATCTATCTTATCTATTGCAAAACATTAGTTTCTACATACTTATTAAACTACTATTTTTTCCGTTTAGTGATTGAATAACAATTACCATGACGTTAATTTATGATTTTTTTCAGACTATGCGACAATAAAGGAGTTTTTTGTGCATGGATACAAATCTGAGCATAATGTTACAACAACTGAATATGACAACGTTACCTTTATATGCGACATTGACAGTAAACCAATTTCGAATACAAGTCTACGATTTACGACGGACACATCTTTGGTTTGGACTCATTCAAATATGCTGAGTTATACACTTGGCTCTGCAAAATGTACAGATGCTGGAACCTATTCTTGTTTCGGCAAAAACAAACACAACATCGGAGTCGGTTCAACAAAGCAACTGAATTTATTTATAAGATGTAAGTATATAAAAACTTAAGTTCTGTTTTTACATGATATAAATACAAGCAGAATCGAGTAACTCAATAATATGAGATAGCAAAACTGTTCTACTTTTCCTTGAACATAATGTACTGTATATCAAATTTAGTAGACTTGACTGTTTGCAATACATACACAGTTAATGAACGGTATTTGCAATATGAATTGTAAACCAAGTAAATTTTGCAAATGAATTTCAATACAAACCGTTTGATATACATATGTAGTTCAAAACTAACACACATATTACTTGTCAATTTCAGCAAATAATAGCGATAAATTACACTGAATAATCTAATAAATTATATTATTCAACAACACTAAACATCATTAATTTTACAAATGTGTATAATATATGCTAGTTTTATGTTTGTTTTGGTATTAAACGAATTAAGTTGCTCATATCATGTTATTTTGATTTGATATAGGTTCACCGAGAGCTAATCCAACAGTTCCATTCACTACAAACTTAACATTAGCAAGTAATGTTACTGCCGTTCTTTATTTTCCTATCCTTGCCTACCCTAAACCAGAAAGTGTTATTTGGCAGAAATATTCAATGTCTAATTGGATAAGTGTTACATCAAACAACAATATCAATATATCAAATAATGAGTTAAATGTAAGTCTATCTATATACAACTTGATGGAGACCGAATTCGGGCGATATAGGCTAATTATTTCTAATGATGTTGGTTCATACATACAAAACTACTACATCAACGCTGAAGGTAAAGTTTTAATGCACACTTTCATGTTCTATGTACTTATATTACTTTCCAAATAATCTTTGATAAAATGTTTATAAAAAGAGGTAATTATTTATTTATATTAAATAAAATATGCATATTAACACATAATTGGACATTATATGCTGTTATATTATTTAATATGCAATATCCATAAACGTTTAAAATTTATAATGTAAAGAAAAGTATCACACTTGTACCCATTGTATTATTGATTGCCAATTTTATCATTCATGATACTAAGTACAAAATAATGTAAATGATATTTTGTATGTTCTTAATACTAATGAATTAATTGGAACTCATAAAGCATTTATGCAGTATAACTTTGCATTCGTATCATGCCTATTGACTGGTTAAAAGGTAAAAAATACAGTAAATTCTGACGTTTGTTATTTTATTGATATCAAATTATAATATAGCTTTATAATGTTTTCATTACTATACAAATACAACTTCCATTAACCACTGACTTAAATGCAGGATATAACACAGCACTGATAAATGTAAGTTTCTTTTGTTTAATCGCATAATCGTAGTCAAATGCCGGTATTTATCATTAGACAGACCAAATCCTCCGACGGGCTTTCGTGTTCTCAACAAATTAACAACAGCTTCAACTGCAACAGTACAATGGTTTCCTTCTTTTAATGGTGGAAAACCCCAACATTTTGTATTGAACTACTCCAAATCACTACAGAAACACTGGACACACGAAGAAATAGAAGACACAGGGGAACCAGTACTTATTTATACGATAAATGGATTGTCAAGCAATTCTGTCTACTACATCTTTTTACATTCTGTTAATATGTTAGGATCATCTAAGTTGTCTGCACGTCTTGAAATCAAGACCAAAGGTACTCTCATTGTTTTTAGTGTAACATATTTAAAAGTTGTTTTACTTAAGTCATGATTTATACTCTAATTTCATACAATGTCACCTATTTTATCTGAAACAATCAACAGCAAAACTTCCAGCTTTTTAAACGTTTAAGATATTAACTATTTCGTGCGTTTTCTTCAGAGGGGATGCATATAGATGGTAACACCAGCTTCGTCGGGACAACTATAGGGATTAGTATCGGTGCTGTCCTGTTGTTGCTTATACTATTCATTGGTATATACACATTAAGAAGGTAAATTAATTTAAAAACCGTTGATCCATGTAAGGTGCCAATCAAAAATACCTTTGGTACAAACATATTAATATTCTTGAAGTGCATTTATTTACTTGACTTTATATATACATTATGAGAACAGTACTTATATCGCAACTGTTACACAAATGTATCTATGATTGTTGAATCAAAGAATTGTCAAACAAATAAAGATTAACAAATTTATTGTTAATTTATTTTTCCTTGCATTGGATGTCTAATAATTGTGCATAAATTTCAGGTTTAAGCTGAGATATCAACACACAAGTAAAAACGTATATCAAAACACTATTGGTTTGTAATCTTTATTCAATTTTTTATAATTGGTTACCTTAATTGATGTCATAAATGTTTCATACAAATGTGCAAATATATTTGATTAAGATGCATACTTAATTATAGGTGTATGTTTTTGGCACATATAAACTGGTGTGAAATATCGTTAAATACCAATGTTAGAGGTATTGTAGCAGTTCTATGACAGTTTTGTCTAGCTTTTTTATTATGATATTTTGTTGCAGTAATTTCGTAAGCAAGCTGAAGAAAAAGGACTTTGTATACATTATAAATAATTACATTTTTCAATTGGAGTTATGCTTACATTGTCGTTTTTAAAACGAAACAGTAATGAATTAATTTTCATACTCAAACTAAAATCAATTTTATATAATCTAAATGTGTAGGACCATCAACACAAAAGATAAATTCTACAACTGAATACGGAGGCATCGATCTTAATACAGTTGGAGCAAACATAGAACCGAATGACCCAAACAACACAGGTATTTCCATTGTTTCTTGTGTAATTCTAATTATAAGTGTATGCTTATTGTAGATACTATATTATGATATTATTTTAAAGAGAATAGATAATGTGTTTTAATTAAATGTTCGTTTTACATGATTACGTTTGTAATTAACTTAGGTATTATGTCAATAAATTTGCAACTGGACCGATTCGTTAATTCATGAAATTATTGATAAGTTTAATGTAATCTTATGGTAGCTTTTTAAATGTAATATTGTTAATCATACTTTGGATTTCGCTTAAGACACAAGTACGGACGCTCTTCCACAAAATCCTTATGAGAAACTTGATAAAATCTTGAAAGACAGTAATCAGTATAGTGAACTTAAACAAATGGATGAAAACCGTGAAGATGTTTTCTGGAAAAGTAATTCTGATTCAGCTCCAGATGCCTTGCAAAAAGACTTCAATAAAGCAATATATATGAATATGAAAATATGAGGATCAAAATCCTCATGAAATCAACACTGGTTAATATTTGTTATGTTTGTGATTGCTTTTAACTTCCAGCACAGTTATGTTGTGTAAATACGAAATAGTGATATCTATAAACGATGTATATAAAATATAATATTAACAAATACTGAAAACAATGATCGTACAAACGCTAGGTAAAACGTACATTGGATATTCTTAAAACTTTTAAAATTCACCAGATGTTCATGAAGTGAATTCTTATATGTATATGTCTTTAGCCTTTCGACTGATTGAATACCAAATATTACTAAAAGTAACTGTAAAATTCCATTTTATAAATCAGATTATATTGATGCTAGAAACTTTGCTTTATATTGATGTTAGAAACTTTGCTTTATCAATATTGGTAAATATTTGTCAATTTGTTATTGCTTTTATCATGTAGCATGCAATATATATCATGTATATCATGAAATATCAATGTGTATATCAATGTAAATAGCAAGAATGTCTGCTAAGTCCTTTTGTGGTGTGTATTTGATTATGAAAACAAATATTGATTCAAAAACAAATGTTATAAATCATGTTTTTATTTGTACTAATGTAAACAAGGACGGATTCACTCGATTGTTTGCATAGACACTATACATTATTACCGTTCAGGAAGTATTACTAAAATACTTGAAGGGTTAAAAAAAATATATTGTACATCCTGAATACTTTATCAAGAGTACTTTAATCCCGATGGATTTAACAATTTTTCTTCACATCCTGAAGAGTGTAACAAACAATCTTAACACTAGATTATGACATTGTCAATCAAGCAGACGTAAAGAGCAAGAGATACAAAGTTTAACCACACGCGATGTGTGACATTCTGTCAAGTTAAAAAAACCTTTGTTGTCTTATTTTGGATTTATATTCCTGTGTAGTTGCAGTTTTGTCATATCTCGTCGGCAGATCACTTAAAAAAATTGTCGGGTACACTAACCATTAATTACTAATTTCCTCCAAACATAACCGATTACTTACTAATCCCACGTGATTTCTGAATCAGCATTGACAGACTTATGTCAACTTCTAAATTACTCTATGCCCAAGATCAATTGCAACAGAGAAACATACACCCTGTATTTTTATGTGAATTCCTTAAAACTCAGCTGAAACATTGATGTAACACATTTGTAATGAATTCACCGACGTGTCGTTTTGATTTACTTAATAGTATTCTTTTTTTTTATTTGTAAATCTTGTGCATTAGTTTCAAAACATATTAAATGCCTTTTGAATAATTTATGCCGTTTGTTGTGCCCTATTTCTTTTATTTTTACCAATTTTGCAATTAAGAAAATTAGGGACGTAGATTGCGGCTTCAATAATTTTTTTGTGTGCATGAGCAGGCCTTAAAAATGTTCATGAATGTGAGAAATTAATGCAATCGTCGTTCCCGCCTACCATTTACTTACTTTCTTAAATAAACTACCATTGAAGTAACTGTTCCATTGCTTGATATTAAGTATATGTTTTCAATTTAATTGTGTAAAGTTTCTTAAGGGTTTATTTCACTATAATTTATAATCTACATTTCACTATAATTTATAATCTACAAAGTTGCACTCTTACAATTATATTTATGCTCAAGTGGTTATTTCATTTTCGAAAATAAGTAATTGGAGGGCGATGACGGAGGCCTGTATGTTCAAATGACGTCCATGTTTAATCTCAGCAAAACAAGTTTTGTTACTTTCTTATTTTTGAGTCACTGGTAACAAGTTAGGTTCGAGTTACAAAACACGTTAGTGTCGTTTGTGGCAGCTGTTTTCTCATGTAATTATACTTGTATATATTATATTATAATAAATCCTACTTTTATTTTATTGTTACACAAACATATGTTGCACTTCGAAATAGATCTTTCTACAACGTGTTCTTCTAATTGGTATATCTATATTTCTAAATGATCCTCCTGGAGATATTGCGTCTACTTTCTTTGCCAATTAAAATGAAATAATACGTCGGATTGCGTGTAAGTTTGGTTATTCAAAATATGCGTTTTTTGGCTGGGATGTCTATGCGTCCGCTCAATCAAATATGAAACGTTTGCATACATTTATTTTTTGTCCAAAATCAAAACTCAAAAGTATTCAAGGTCTGAACTTTACTAATAATTGAATTTTTTAAATAGAAGTACAAAGCTCAAGAAAACAACTGTTTTAATTACTTCAAAAGTACTTCCTTTTGTACGTTTTACATACAATGCATTTACATCTTCCTATAGCGCCATATACATGCATTAACAGTTTAGAACAATTCAACCACACAATTTAGTTAAGAACAATGTAGTGCCTAGTATTTGTCAATCAGTTTTGCCAAGTGTTAGAGATTCTGTCCCTAATGGTTAAGGTCGTTCACCCCACCGCTGATTATGATGAGTTCATGTCAGGAAGCTATCAAGCTAGCTTACGGAAGTTCGTAGGTTCTACTCGGGCCTGAATTCGTAAGCAAATAGGAACCTGGTTTGAGATAGTCATTTCCAAGTAAATGTAAGACCTTAAGAGTGTCGATGTGTTTTTAGTAGTGAATTTTTTCTCAAGCATATTTTAGAGATATCCATAATGTACGTATATTGTGACGTTTTATGAACTGAAATGCAAGTATTACATATATCTAGTGTTCATCTACGTCAGCTAAATCCCGTTAATTTAATATGCCTTTTCCCCTTGTTGCTGAGGGGTTGCCTTTAAGTGTTGCCGCCGTCCATCTTTTCGTGACCATAAGAAGCGACTACATGTTTTTGAATAACAGGAGACTATGCATCCCTTAGCTCCAGGAAATGAGGTACTTTTGACACCCGGTGTTGCTAAGTTGGTAACACTTGAGTTTATTCAAAATCGTATCTCATCATTCGGCGTCATTTGACGTAAAATGTGTTGATGCGCTGTAAAACGAAAAGTAAAAAAAAAAGAAAAAAAAAAGAAACAACAATTCATATGCTACTTTAACATTGATTCGTGCAATGTGATTTTGCTTCCAACAAACAGCAAATTCAATTGTAGATATTACAAGACACTCAAACAGTACTATCTCTAAATATATCGAACATTTCAAGGGAAGATCACAATTCGTCCTTCAGTTGTGTGATACTTTGACTAAGTGGTGTAGAGAGACAAGATGCAACATTGTATGTGAAAGTGTAAAGTGTACCGAGCTACAATATATGTATTTGTATTCAATATATTATATTAATGATTTTCCTCTAGGTTTCCTTACCTAAATGATTGAAGACAATGATTTCAAAATAATTAGAATATAAAGTTATCAACTTATATTAAGCACATATTAGACAAACAATACACAATATTGATACATTTGGTTACGATCCCAAATCTTTCCTAGTCTCTACGCCTAGTCTCGATGCCTTTCTAACATATAATCCGTCTCGATGCCTACCTATTATACTATGCTCGTATTTCCTATGTTTCTGTTTTATTTATCTCCATACAATTATCCAACAAATATCCTGCAGCCCGGTTTACTTTCTACAATATAAAAACCTGCAATCCTCTCCGGTAGCGTTGCCCCCTAGAGAACACGGATTACAGACAATATTACAATATATAGCAGGTTTAACTTCAAAGCTCCAAGATTAGATGTTGACAATCTGACTTCCACCAACACAAACCCACACACTAAACTCACCTCGAATTCCTCTGCTTATATATGCTTTGCACGACAACGCCCTCTTACGGCTATTTATGATTGGCTATTTAACTTACAATACAATTATACAGAAACGATCGCCTGAATTACATAGTTCGCAGTGCAAATAATGTAAATTAAAATATTTTAGTAGAAACTTTTTTTACTTTACATTACAATGACATCAAAGAAATGCTCACATCATTATTTACAACAGAATAATAGCAAACTAACCTTGTAAAATATGATAAGACTCAGAACGTAGTGTTTACGTTTGTAACGTGCAAATGGCGTTCTAATATTAAAGGGCCGTAACTCGTAATAATTGTTACAAAAGGTAAGTGGAAGAAGCGTAGTTGTTTTCAGTGGTCCTTTGTAAAATACTCTAATGCAGCAAAGATGCGCTTTTCTAATTGCAAATTGAAAACATGACACGGCAACATAGAATTTGAAACTATGAAACATTTCTCCTTCAATGCTACATGATGTTCATTGTCGTTTTTGAAACACATAATGAATTATGCAATCAATGTCTGTTTTGTATACCGCTAATGTCTTATAACAGTTATTTCAATTACTGTTAAATTACTATTAAGAGAACATGAACAGCTGAGAAACACCAAGACATTTGAGGGACAAAGTAAAGGTGACAGAAAAGTATGTATGACAGTTTTCTATATACAAACAATAAGGGACAGATAATTCGTTATTTACTTTGTTAAACACTAACTAGTTGCATACCGTACATGGACAAAATAATAAACAACCTGAAGGTATAAATATTAGATAATTGATTAAATGTTCTATAGCTCATTCTGTTACATATTATCAAAAATTTAAACAACGTAAATAACGGGTTACATAAGTTTTAGGTAAACAGTTAACAATAATTATCGCGTTAACTATCTGACAAACTAGTAAGCTTTGGTGTTAAAACGATGAATAATTACAGATATTTATAAGACTAACTTGATATTTTTCTGTGAGATAGATAAATAATGAATAAGTATCTAACTTCCAAAAACACCAAAATGTGTCCAGACCTGCTGAAACTTACTAGTTAAATAATATATAATAAATTAACTTTCATGTGAGGAGCTATCCAGCTAGCTTACGGAACGCCGGTGGTTCTACTCAGGTACCCGTTCGTGACTGAAATAATGCACCGAAGGGCATCTGAGGTCTTCCCCCACCAGTAAAGCTGGAACGTCGCCATATGACCTATACTGTGTCTGTGTGACGTAACCACCCCCCCCCCAAAAAAAAAAAAAAAAAAAATTCTGTTAATATATACAATCTTACAAATGTATTTTCCATGTTTATACTAAATATTGTTTATCTTATGCTTAATCTATTATTTATCTTCTATTCTTATTTATCATAATTCAGTGCAATTGTCTAAATCCAA